GCTAGGATTACAGGCGTGAGCCACCGTGCCCGGCCTAGCATACCATTTTAATTCCCTTGTCATTTTTTAAACTATTTTAAAAGTTAATTTTCTTATTGATTGACTTAGAGATTAAAATTAACATCTTAATTTATAACATCCTAGTTCATATTAATATCTAACTAATTTAAATAGAATACAAAAACTCCATGCCGTTCCCCTCCTTTGTGCTATTATCACAAATTACATCTTTATAAATTGTACTCTGATCAACAAAGATTTATGATTATTTTATGCAATTGCCTTTTAAATCAGGAGAAAAAAGTGTTACAAACAAAAAATGCAGTTATACCCCATCTTTACTATAAATAGAAAGAAATTAGCCAAACAACTAAAAATAGAAAAAATTAGCCAGGCACAGTGGCATGTGCCTATAGTCCCAGCTACCTAGGAGGCTGAGGCAGGGGGATTGCTTGAGCCCAGGAGTTTGAGATTGCTGTGAGCTAGGCTGACGCCATGGCACTCTAGCCCGTGCAACAGAGTGAGACTCTTTCTCAAAAAAATAAAAAAAAAATGCAGTTATACTATCATTTTATCTTCTTATGTAGTTACCTCTGCTAGTGCTCTGTATTTCTTCACATGAATTTGAGTTATTGTCTTGTGTACTCTCATTTCAGTCTAAAGAACTCCCTTTCAGATTTCTTGTATGCTGGGTCTGCTACTAATGAATTCTCTTGGTCTTAACTTATTTGAGAATGTCTTAATTTCTCTTTCATGTTGAAGGATAATTTTGCTTGGTTGACGGTCTTTTTCTTTCAGCACTTTTTATATGTTATTCCACTACCTTTGGCCTCCATGGTTGCTGATGAAAAATCAATTCCTGATCATATTGAGAATCCCTTGTATGTGCTAAGTTGCTCCTCTCTTGCTGCTTTCAAGATTTTCTCTTTGTTTTTGGCTTTTGACAGTTTTATTATAACATATCTAGGTGTGGCTCTCTTTAAGTTTATCATACTTGGAGTTTGTTTAGCTTTTTGGATGTGTAGATTCATGTTTGTCATCAAATTTAGGAAAAATTTTGGCCATTTATTTCTTCATATATTTTTTCTGACCTGTTTATTCTCTCCTCTCCTTCTGGAATTCCCATTATGTGTATTTGGTATGCAGATCTCTAAGGCTTTTTATTTTTCTTCATTTTTTTCTGTTACTTAGATTGCTGACTCTTTCTTCTGCCTGCTAAATTATGCTGTTGAGCCGCTCTAGTGGAATTTTTATTTCAGTCATTGTACTTTTCAACTCTAGAACTTCTATTTGGTTCTTTGTTAAAATTTATAATTTCTATCACTTTATTGATATTCTTGATTTGGTGAGACATTGTTTTCATACTTTCCTTTAGTTTTTAAGTATAGTTTTCTCTACATTTTGGACTTTAAAATAGCTGATTTAAAGTCTTTGTCTAATAAGCCTAATATCCAGTCTTTCTCAGGGACACTTGCTAGTAAATTGCTATATTTCTTGTGTATGGGCCATATTTTGTTGTTTCTTTGCTGGTCTCATAAGTTTGTGTTGAAAATTGGACATGTTAAATACTATAATGTGGCAACTCTCAGAACCAGATTATTTCCCCTCCCCAGAGTTTATTATTTTTGCTATTTGTTGTATTCTTTGTTTGTTTATTTAGTTACCTTTTTTGAACTAATCTGTAAAGTCTTTGTGATACATGAGCACTGAAGTTTTTATTAGATTAGCTTAGTGGTCAGCTAATGATTAGATAGATATTTCCTTAAATTCCTAGAACCAATAAGTCTTTCAGTCTTTCGTAGAGGCTCTGTGTACATGTTGGGGCTCACCTTCAACACTCAGCCAGTCAGTATACAACTCTGCCTTAGCCTTCACTTCCTGTTTTCACAGAGCCTCAAAGTCATCCAGAGGTGAGAGCTTAGGGCTTTCCCAGGTCTTTCCTGAGCATACAGATAATCCTGGACATGTACAAATCCCTACAACTAAAAGTGATTTTATTTTCTAGATTTTCAAGAACATGGCAAAGCTTTTCAAGGCCTCCTTGGATATCTCATTTTTAGCTTTTCCTTTTAAGCTTTTTGGTTAGTTTATTGTTTGCCTCAGGCAGTTGTGAGGTTACTCAATTGCTTCTAATTGCTTTAGAGAAACACCCTCAGGGAAAGGTCTTTTTCACTGGGTGAGCTCTGAATCAGGTCAAATAAAGACAGCCTTGTGAGAAGTATCTTCCAGAGAACCACCAGACAGGTCAGATAATGACAATTCTCTGGTAATCATACTTTGTAGGAGCTCCAGCTCTGCTCTGATCCCTTCAATGGCTGCCAGGCTGCTATTAATAGTTTCCACTGTAATTGTGGGCTGTTGGTTTTTCAAGGCTATCACTGAGGTGGAGAGGGAAGGACAGGAACAGGGCAAATTTAAAAATGCCACGAGCTTGCTATTCTTTCCAAGATTCAGCTATTTCTTAAATAACAATCCCTGGTCACTACAAGACTTTGGCTAATTCTGAATTCCAAAAAAGTTGATCTGATAATTTTTGCTAGTTTTCTGGTAGCTTTATGGAGGAGTTTTCAGAGGTCCTTACTCTGACATTTTTGCTAACCTTCAGTGCATGTGGCTTTCATTTGCATTTTCCTAATGACTATGATGTTGAGCATCTTTTCATGTGCTTATTTCCCATGTATATATCTTCTTTGATGAAGTATTTGCTCAAACCTTTTGCCTATTTTTAAAACCAAGTTATTTATTATTGAGTTATGAGTTCTTCATTAGATGTATGTTTTATATATATTTTCTCCCAGTCTGTAGCTTACCTTTTCATTTTACTTACAATGTTTTTTTCTACAAAAATAACTATTAAGGAATATTTTGCATATCACATAATTCAATCTTTTGAAGTATACAATTCAATGACTTTTTACTTCAATTTACCAAGTTGTACAACCATTACCACGAATCAGTTTTAGAACATTTTCATCATTCCACTATGATCCCTCATGCATATTTACTATTAATCTCTGTTCCTTCTCAC